AATGCCAATTTAAAATTCTATATTTCCCAAATAAGCTTTAAAAGACTAGAAACTAAACACAAACAAAATCTGAGAGAATTTGTTGCAAAAAAAGGTTCTACTTTAAAGAGATGTTAGAGCAAAGAAAATTTTTTAGGGAGAAGACAAATGACGTGGGTTAGAAACAGATTCACAGAAAATGAAGAATGGGAATAAATGAACCCAAAGTGGAAACATATTCTCTGCTATTAATTTACCTAACAGATAATAATAGAAAACAATAATGACATCAGTGTATCTCATTACGCAAAAAATAAGAAGATGACAAAATGCAATCCTAACAATGCTCAACTTAAATCAAAATCAAAGCCAAGAAAGAGTGAAATTTAAAAGCAACAGCAAAATATCAGCTGGGTGGTGGTGGTGTATGCCTTTTGATCCTAGCCCTTGAGAGGCAGAGGCAGGGGGATCTCTATGAGTTCGAGGCCATCCTGGTCTACCAAGTGAGTTCCAGGATAGCCAGTGCTGTTACACAGAGAAACCCTGTCTCAAAACAATGAACAAAAAACCAAAGTCCACATGCAGGAAATAGTAACAAATATCATTGATTTTAACTATATTAGTAGCCACTTTGAGTACTAATTGTCTCAGTACATGAAGTGAGATGTTGACAGGCAACACTAAAAGAAAAAATGCAAAATATATGTAGCCAATAGACGCCTTTTTATAGTTCATATAGGTTAAAAATAAGTGAGCAAATAAAGACACATCATATACATGCTAATCAAACGAAAGAGGAAGAAGCTTAATTTTCAACAGAATGGATTTCACATTAAGAGAAGCAAACAGGCTTAAAAGAGGGTGCGCTACATAAAAAGAATCAGTTTTCCAAAAGGAAAGACTGTTTGTGAGCTGAATAATGGCACCATCTAAAAGAACCAAAAAATTAAAATGGAAAGAAAAAATAGATGCACCAAATGTTCTAAAGTCACAAATATGCGATGGACAAGCCTTCATCCAAACTCCTGCAAGAAATCCTTCACAAATGTTCTCAGCAACTACCAAGGGTCAACTCATTGGTTCTTCTGGCTATACATGGGCAGAATTTTTTTTTTTTGGTTTGTTGTGGTGTCTTATCTGAGGTAAAGAAATGCTTGTTCATGTCTCCCATAAAATGTCATCAAAATTACGATATAGCCACATGCTATTTTGCTCAAAATTCTAGAAAACTCATCATTGAAGATAAACTCTTGCCCATAAACTATGGGCTTTAGGTAAAAATGTTAGTGAAGATTTGCTAACAGAGGTACCATTCTGGTTGGGGGGTGATACTAAAGGGGAATTGGAATGTGTGTGGCCCGGTAGAATGTGGAACATCTTATTCTTTCCCTCTTCACTTTGCTATTATTTTAAAAGTGTTCAAAAAATAAAAATCATTGTAAAATCAAGTCAAAGGGAAAGAGTTTCTATGCTCAGACAACAATATCCTCTTGAAGTATTTATGTTCACTCTCTGTGAAGCCATTCAAACAAGTCATGACAAACTGTACACATTCTTTTCAGCCATTAGGAATGGTTGCATTTTTTAATGTTGACATTAATCTTTCCATTGCCAACAATCAGTTATGTACATCCAGATGAAAGAGGGCTCTTACATGTGGACTGGAATTTGACATCATGTTTTGATCAGCACAGAATAGCATAGCATTTAATGGTTCTTAATTAAAAAGCAGTTACAGATTTCCTTTCAAAAATTCAACATGAACATTAATTGTAACTTTAATAATACAGGTTTTTCTTACATACTGTAGAAATATATATGCATGTATATTTCTAATAAATAGCACAGACCTGCAATAAAATTCATGAGCAGTAGTAATTAAAATACAGTAGCAACAGAGTACAAAAACATACAGACTTTCTCAAGTTGCATAATTCAGACAAAAAGATAATTAATTTTATTGCACTGTTCCCTACCCCTAAAAAAACAAAAACATAAAATTCAGCGTACAGGAGCATTCAGGATGAAGGTCAGTGTAGGGAAATCAGTAGCACCTTTAGTAATTAAAATGATTGTCAATACTTCCAGGAAGCCTAAATAGAGCATTACTGACTTTATAAAAAAAAACAAAACTAATTGATATGTATCAATGAGTTTACCTGCTGCATGTCTCAGCACTTGCATAGAATGTTTGACTAAGATATTTAAAATGAATCCTTCAAGGCGTTTCCCATCTTATTGTTTGAAACTTGTCAGATAATCCCCCTACTATGCCTCAGGCCACATCATAGAATACTGGGGGACTCTCAATAATCTAAATCCATTCCTTTGATCTATTTATTTCCATGAAGAATTATTCTATGTCTGGCCCTCTGCTTGGCATAAACACTGCTATTCTGGAAACATCCTTGTCCACAAGGAGTTTACAGTCTAGAAGGAAAGATAAGACCTTGGAAACATATTTAAAACAGCAGGCAAAACACAAAGTTTCACAGAAGAATTAGGCATTTCTTTCAAATCTGTTGAGAGCAAAACTGAGCAACTCTGGTAGTTCCTTTTCTGAAGCATTATGCCCATGTGACAGGCACCACAGCAAGACAAGGCAAGTGTGTCAGTACACCGGAAAGTTTTCCTAGCAATGGGCTCATCATCGAAACAATTTACCCTTGATCTAAGTAAATCTACATAACATTTAACTAAAATAAAATGTGCTTTTCTGTGAAAACACCAGTTATCTCATTTTGGGGGTCACTTTTACACATTTTTTTTTATTTCCTAAGTTAGGAATTGTTACCTATATAAAAATTTCCAGAACTTTACACGAAGATCGACTTAAAGTATAGTCCCTTGCAGACAGGTGAAAGAAGAGCAGTTTATCATCTTATATTAACTCCGATAGGCATTCACACTGATCACTTTATACTTTGCTTTCAAGTGGTGAGGCAGGTGCTGCCATGACTTAGATCCTGTACAAACAGGTGACTGGATCCTCTTAGGGGTCAAGCAAGGCTCCCTTAATCTTTACTTCACTGCAATAGGGAATATCCATATTTATGTGCCCATGTGATGGTTTGCTCAGTGGTTACCAAGATGCAGAGAAAACAAAGCACATTATGGTGCACTTGGGAATCTTAGAAGTGGAGTTTAAGGCATAATTTATAATGAAAATGATTTTATAGATTAACTCTGAAGCTCAATCACTTCAGCAGTTTTTTTCAAAAAGTAGGTGTGGTTATTGTAAAGTATATCTTCTATGTCTTATTAATGGCAAGATATTATGTCTAGCACTTCCTCCAAATCTTAAATTTAAAACTGTAATGAGAAAATGTTTAGCCAAAGCATCGAAGTTGTAACAATTTTTCAAAATTTTCTTCACAAGTGGAGAATTTTTCAACCTAGAAAATAATTCATTAATACATTATAATAAAAACTCTTCAAATCAAGTGAAAATTTTAATATTTGGGAAGATCTTGCCATTTCACTTTCAGCATAGAGATTACTGTATGATACTGCAGACTAAACTATGATATTGACTTTATCATGACCTGGATGGGTAATGCTGCTGCTCTCGAGGCTGTTCCTGTCCCAGTGGTATCAGATGGTTACACAGCATCACTCTGGTTGAGTATAACCCCCACACATCTGCCAGTGGAGGTACAAAGGTCTTTCACATGCCCACAAGAGTCTCCATGCCAGTTTCTGAACACCTTCACTACAGTGGATCCTGTTGTTGATGTCCCCAGTGACCGAAACAAACACATGTCTAATGCAGAATGCTGCTTTTGTACTTTGGCAAAATGAATTCCAAGCAGTCACTACACTTCTTCCTGAGATTTATCTTACTATTTTTGGTGTTTATTGTTGATTTCTGGAGGGGTATGAATAAAGGAAACGCCTAGAAATGCTGTCTATCCAGGCAGAATAGGTTAAAGGGCATTCTCTGACATTAAAACTTTAGTTACATTGTTCTGAGACACCTGTTAATTATCTAGTTTTGTCTAATAGAACTCAGTCTAGTACTTTCCCTAATGAATTTTCACATTCTTAGAACATTGCATGAGTGATGTTCTTAATTTAAGTGATGACAATTGTGTAGACAATTGAATGTTTCTTTTCAAATAAGGGCAATTAAAGCAACTATAATAAATGCTTATTAACATAATACTGTTGTCTCTAGAATGGCTTTGATATTACCACAATATCATATACTGTGCAAAATTCAGTAGCATATTGTTACTGTCTACGACAAATCCAGGACTCTCTAGTGTGGCAATCAGTAGATATTCTTCAAATTAAGTTTACAAACTTGACTTTGCAAAGTATGATTGAAGAAATATATTTGTATTGAATATGGGGAATTATTGAATGGGCTTCTAGGAAACTATTTTATTTATTCTATGAGGTCATCATTACTGACGGCAGGGCTTGTCTAGTGAAGAGAATTAAAAGTATTTGAAAGTCAAAAGATGTGTACTATCTTCAATCCTGCAACTACTCAGAGCACACCTTAGCAAAGGTTTTAATCTGCTGAGTCTAGTACAGAAAATGTGGACCGCTAACATGAAATTGCTTAGAAAGGTGAGATGGTGCAATCAATTAATTAAACATAACTTTTGATATCTGTATATGTTGAGAGAAAATACATTACACGTCAAGATACAATTGCATCCAAGGCTCCAAAACCAGCATTTTGATTGGCAGGTCCAGTCTCATGAAGTCCAGAATTTCTCAACCTTCAGTCAATACAATGTTGGTGGTAGAAGAGCAAAGCCCATTGAAACCTGCTGTCTATTTTATTGAACATGTTGTGTATGAAATGGGTTTATCAACAGCATTATTAGGTGCTTATACAAAGTAAAAATGAAACTACAAACAACTACAGCATCAACATCACTGCGGTTTTGAAAGTCCATGCTGAATTTAGGGAGATAAAATTTTTCTGAACAACATGCTGACCACTTGCCCACACCCTAGCAGTCATTTATTCAGTGCCTGATTTGCACTTAAAGCTTATATTCTTCCATAGCTTATTTAGCCATTCACATTAAAAACAAAGAAACAAAAGCTGGCTTTATCATTTAAAGAAAACTTAGTCACTGTTACGTTAATAAATTCAGCATATACTGGCCTTCTCCATGACTGCTGAATGTTGCTACCTAATTAACAGGTTGTCTATGAAGACTCGAAAACAAAAGACCACGAGAACAATGACAGTGTCATCAAACCACCAGCAAGGAAATATTCTACGTGGAAAATATCCAAAAGGGGAGGACAAAAATCTTAAAGGCTTTTATCCAAACATTACAGAAAAAGGAAATTAATTCAAAATTAAGAAATAAAGGCAGAGAGAGGGGTGTTAAGGAAAACAAAGCACCTGGGACTGGAATAGGGGTGATTTTGTTCAATGTCAATGTTAACTTTGCTCAACGTGAGACTTGCAAGAACGTTATCCATAATACTCATTATCACAATTTTTTCAAGCTGTGTTCATGAAGGTATCAAAGAAAGCATAGAGATGCCGTCTAACCTTATAATAATACTGCGTGAAGATGCAAAGTCTACTGAGTGTGAACACTTGAAGCAAAGATGACTAAATCTGAATGGTAAATATAATGGTCTCAGTACACTGTTCATTTAAGGGTGTCAACAAAGACCACTTGTGTTTTTATGACATGAGAGTTTCTGACATGGGTGTCTTTTGACTTTAGCCTGTGTTCTCAAATGTGGAAGTGCAGGGACCCAAAGAATTCAGATCTGTAGAAGTGGCAGGATTAAATGTCAAGATTTGAAAAACATCTGAGTGACCTTATTGCAAACAGCTGTGGTGCGTGTGTGCACGGGGCAACGCTGGATTAGTAAAACAGTGCACAGCACGGCTAATCCCAGTTCTTGAAGGTACGAGGCACTTTTAGAAATATTGGGAAAACTCCAGAAGGCAAATGCCCAGGAGAGAATGATTTGTTTTGCTAGGTTCTGCCAAACTAGACTCAATTGTGAATTTATCTTACATACACTTATGTGTCTTCTAGACCACAAATACCTTTCCAATCTCAGAATATTCAAGCCTAGACTAGGAGGCTTTTCCTATTTGTGAACATGTATCGTTTTTACATGAAGTATATAGAGCTTCAGGGAGGCTATTCTTGCAAATCGCAGATGAGCAAAACCCTCTGCACCACAGATGGCGTCATCCACAGATGACACCATCATGAGGAAACCTGCCTTTAGACCTAGCTCCTCAAACGAGGTGGGATGCATAAGCTCTTCAAATGTCTAGCAAGACAAGATGACAAAGGCGGTCATGGTTGTGTTCTCCACGAGACAAGAGAACAAGGAGCATGCTCAGAGGAACTTGAAAAGTAACTACCTATTCAGGATATGTTTTGTCAAATAATGAAAATAAGTAGATACTATATTAATGAATTGAATTACTTTAATCTTATCAATCGCATACATATTTCTTGGTTCCTGGGGTAGTCCTATAAATGGGATAGTCACTAAAATTCAAATTATCATGTTCTATAGTAAGCAATTATTACAGTTTACATCACAGGTAGGAACAAATATAGGATTAGCTTATGTGTACTAAAGAACGTTCTTTACTCCAACTTCAGGGAAAATACATTACACCTGAGTCATAGAAACATACCATTATTTATATGAGAAAAGGATTTAATAAAGCACTTTTAGTTATTCTATATAATCATTACTTGAGATAATTTTTGAGATAATTTGAACTGATGAGAGAAACAGGCCATTTGAAATTATATTTTGCATATAGAAAATTCAGTTTCTAGTGAACAAATAATAAATTATAATATAGATTGCAGTTAAGTCTCATTTCCCATATAAAATTTACTCTTTTGTATGTCTTTTTACTTGCTTTTGACACTATCAGTTTTATGTGGAAACTGAGTGAATTCTCTAAGAACTTTCTGCTTTTAGATAAACCCATACATTTTGGTTGGGCAATACACTATTTTTAACTCTAGAAAAATTTCCTGAGCTCTGTCAGTGTGTGTGTGTGTGTGTATGTGTGTGTGTGTGTGTGTGTGAGAGAGAGAGAGAGAGACAGAGAGAGACAGAGAGGAGAGAGAGAGAGAGAGAGAGAGAGAGAGAGAGAGAGAGACTGAGACTCTCTTATATCAAAGTAATGACTTCTAGTATGGCTTTGGTTTTAATATTAAAAGGCATTGTGTAGGCAAAATGTATATCATGGATTTCTTACCTCCTTCTTCACTTTGTATTCTCCCATTAAACTGAACCAAACATTTAGGATAATTTATTCTATTAAAGGTTGGAAATAGCCTATATATGAGTTTTTTCTTTGTAAGACATTTTTGGAAAATGTAATTTCAACTAATTATAATGTCTATATAAAATTTTACTAATACTTTCCTGTGTTCTTGATTGTCATGTCATAGGGTTAGAAGCAAGTGAGTAGACAATTACATCCTCACAGAATACTTTTGTGCATATCAAATCCAATTGTTTCATTGTTTCATTTCTCTTTTGGTGTTCAGGTGGAGTGTGGCTAAAGTGAAGGTGGTTGGAAGACAGAACGAAAAGGAGAACTCTATGAGTCATGTGAATTTATACTGAAAAAATGTCATGTCTTCAATGTGATACATATTACTGCCTAGCCCACTCACTTGCCTCTTCAAAAATGGCCTAGAAAGAAGACTAGGTAAGAACAAGTCCATACCTATTTATCTTTCTATGTATGGTAAAAAATTGTTAAGGTTAAATAGCAAAAGATGAGGGATGTTCAACTAACAAATGGCAAATATATAAACTAGCTAGTGATTGGAAATTAAGAGTACTCTAGTTTCTTTTGAATAATAATTAGGATTTTGCGGGGATTTCAATGATATTGATTTAGTTTCTTATCTTGAACATCTAAAATCTGGTATTCTTCTGTGACAGGAATGTATTCAGCACTAAAGTTGCAGACAAGCATGTTATTTACATTCCTCCTGTACCATGTGATTAGATAGGAACAAAAGCTTTAGGCCAACAGTCTTTGCTCAGTCATTGAAATATTTAATTAAAAAAACAAGTATTTCAACAGATGCAGTTGGACCGGGAAGAGCAAACAAGTAGATTCATTTCTATTACAGTTCTCTTACTGATTCAAGCAAGTTATGGCTTTAGCTTAGAACATGTCTGTTAGAGACATTCCTACTTAGAATGTCACGTTTCTGACATGACTCTGCACACCAGGTCCTGTGCTCTGAGATCCTTCCACACCATTAAAGATCAATGCAATAACCATCAGAAGTGAAGTGAATTAAGGCAACTGAGAAGCAGCAAAGGAAATGCAACTTGGCTTTGGTTTGATTCTTCAGCTATTGACACAACTAAACCTCTTCCCAAGGAGAAATGAAGGCACCAGGGTCCCCCTACAGTATCTCTGCATGCATGCAATGTCAAAGCACACAGGTGTGACTACAAATCCCATGGTCACTGCCTTATTGTTCCTCCTCTTCTGCTGTCGGATAAGTATATTAGTTTAAAAAGGTATTTTCAAAGAGTGCAAGGCATTCTTTTTGGAACTCTTTATGATGGACCAGAATGATTTTTTATGACAACAAAAGTGGATATAAAAGGAATAATCACACAAAAATAGCTGACTCAAGACTGGGTGGAACCAAGTTAAGGAAAAGGACACTGCAAAAAAAAAATGAAGGACGTTGTATGTTATATGGTGCCACATGTTGCCCTTATTCATTTCCTTAAAATATTGGCACATCCTGTTCTTTATTAAATGATTGAAAATCATAAATATCTTCAAAAGGGCACATGTTAAATGAAGATAAACCAAATCTGAAAATATTAACCTGTGTACTACATTTAAAGTAGTGTATTAATTTTAGAACAGACTCAAGCCTTTAATGTTGATGTCATAAAAGTGCAGTATCTATGTAGAGTTTCCTAAGGAATAAAAATAGCACCCACCCTTTACTGCAAAGAAAAGAGGAGGGTATTGCTGGAGTGGTGTCACTCAATAGTAAATCTATTCATCATAAAATTAAACAAGACATATACAATATTTAAATTCAGCTGATATTTATAGGTTAGGAAATCGCGGCTCGGTCAAAAGTGTCTTAGGAATGATTCTGAATCCCAGTTACTTTTACTCAAGAAAATGAGAACATGCTCAACTAACCTGAGTAACAACCCTTCACCATGTCAATACTGTGTAATAAAACTATATATCTAGAAGTCCCCACACCTGTATTTTTAGAAGTGTCTTGCCACCCATCAAGCTCCAATGTCTCGCTTCTGTTCAGGCAACAGGCAGTCTAAATCAGTAGGGAGCAGAACTTTCAAGTGTTCCCTCTACCATGAGACATCTTCAGGGTCTGAAGTCAAGGCCTGGGTTCCTTTTCTTTTGCTTTTGCTTATTTTAGTAAAGAATTAGAAAACTTTAGTGGGATCAATAATGACCCCCACTCTTGTCAGTTCTATCTTACAAATTACTCAGAAGATTAAGCTCGTGTCATTTCTTTGGTTGGAAAAAATAGACTCTTGCCTACTTGAAGGTGTCAACTAGGATTCTTGTTTATTTGGCTTGGTTATTGCAGCACAACATTGAATCTGGATTGAGCCCTGTTTTTTTTTTTTTAAAAAAGTCAGAATTAAGTTGTACATTATGAGCTAAGATACAAATCAATGGGGTTTAGCTGGTTGTTCAGTCTCACTAAAATTCTAATTCAATTGATGTGTTAGGTAAAAATTTTACAAATTACTTGGGGGGAGGGAAGTTGTTCTCTTTTCCAGCACCAGGAACTAATTGCAACCTTTTAAAGAAATTGTGTGCACAGATTAATCAAGCATGACTGTGAAAAAGGAGGTTTGGGTTTTGTTTTTTGTTTTTTTTTTTTGCCAAGCTTATTTTACAAACACTTTTTTTCTGATGTTAGCAATCACTTAATTTTTTAGTTATTAGCATTTTGACTTTCAATACATACTGTTATTTTAAAGCCACACTGTGAAACTGCAGACAAGTAAAACACAGTCCCATTATCTCCCTGGAGCTTTTCTTTTACTTAAAAATGACTGTAATAATATTTTTCTTTCAAATTAATTTATTTCTTTATGGTCTCCAGATACTCAGTGTTTGTGTGGATATATATTATATATGTGATTCTTTGTGTGTGAATTGTCTTCAATTTACTTTGTAACAACATCAAATAAAAAAATGAACTTTTGAGGAGAGACATTATATGGAATTAAACATATGCTTAAGTAAGCCAGGCTTCTGGGATGCAGGTTTCATTCTACAAATAAAAGTCAGGGAAAGATTTAAAAATTCTTCTTTCTCATCACAACACCCCAAGTCAAGTCTGAAAATAAGCCTCTACATCGATTTTCTGATTTCATAACCCCAAATTATCATTTCATCATTGTTGGCGATCAATTGTTTTACCTAAAATCCTGTCCAACACTTTGAAAAACACAAAGAAACTCATAAGTGAATTCATAAACACTGATTTGAGATGAGACACGTTAAATATTGCTTTCTCTTTCTCTGTCTGACGGAGGACTGTGTGCACTTGAAACTTTGACAGTAACATCGTCTTGCTTGGATCTGCTTAAAGCCTCCGATTCTCTGGACGGATGGGTGACTGATTTCTTCTTCCTGGCTCTCTCTCTCTTCCTTTCCTTGGCGAGGAGTCTATAGTTAATAGCGTTGCCGATGAACAGCCAAATGCCTGATATTACCACGATTGCTCCACTGGCTATATACATATATTTATAGTCTTTAGTTTTATCAACCAATTTACCTATAAAACAGAGAACATTTTTTAAGTGAGTCTGATAAAAATGACAACATAACAGCTGGAAGAAACTTTCTCAGACAAACTGTAGTCCTCTTATTGAAATTAAAATCAAATCACACTTTAATATAGAAAGTATTGTAGTTAATGCTCCTAAATGTGTGTGTGTGTGTGTGTGTGTGTGTGTATCTCAAATTGGGACAAATATCAACAGAATTACCTTAGCAATATATCACATTTATTGAAAACTATTTCTGCCAATAAAATAAATGATCAAGATAAATTAGACATAATTGTGTTTGTATATTACTACATAGGAATATGAGGCATATTTTTTGTATACAGGCATGCGGTTTCATCTGTATTTAACCGTTACTTTGCATCAGATACTTTGAGATCACTATTTTCCCATGTTTCTTTGTTACTTTAATTTAATAATGAAAAATTTACAATATTTTGGAAGACCCAGTGGGCTTTTGTGTAGTTCGTTACTGGCTTCGCTATGCTTATCACAGACTGAGCATTTACCTGTACTAAACTCCCATGTCGTGACTATGAAGTGATCTCACCATGTGGACTACAGATGCTTTTTTTTGCAAAACTGCTTTAATTCTTTAGTTACCAAAATAAGGCCCGGCTGCTTTCTTTTCTTTCTTTTTCTTTTTTGAGACCTATTTTATTAAATATATGTGTGCTCTTCTGTGGGTATGTATTTGTGTGCATGTATTTGTGTGTGCTCTTTTGAGGCCAGAAGAGAGAGATGACTCCCTAAGAGCAGAAGTTACAGGCCATTGTGAGTTCCCTCAGGTGGGTGCTGGGAACTGAATTCTGGAAGAGCAGCAAGTACTTTTAACTGCTGGGTCATCTCTCTACTCCCCAGACTGTGAACTTTAGATGAGGCCACTTCACAGCTCACCCTTTTAATCAGGTTGTGGGGTGTTTTCACCCAATCTCTTCCATAGGTGGTATGCCACTTTGTAGGTTAAACACCTTTTTGGTTTTATTGAATCTGGAAGTTAACCTGGAAGAATTCCTTGGTCCCAATTAATTAAAACTAGCCTGGTACCTCTAAAACTAAAGGCTAGCTGACACTACGGCACTTTTTTGAGCTCATGCTTAGTTTTTCCTTTTCTTATGAAAGTATTACTTTCTTAATAACTCCTAAGGATGAATTTTGATGTCAAGAATTCATAATTGTGGGCCGGAGAGATGGCTCAGAGGTTAAGAGCATTGCCTGCTCTTCCAAAGGTCCTGAGTTCAATTCCCAACAACCACATGGTGGCTCACAACCATCTGTAATGGGGTCTGGTGCCCTCTTCTGGCCTGCGGGCATATACACAGAAAGACTATTGTATACATAATAAGTAAATAAATAGATAAATAAATAAAAGCAAACGAATAAATAAATATTTTTTTAAAAAAGAATTCATAACTGTGATGTAGACCTTCAAGTGCCTCAGTCTCCATACGATCTGACTAAAATATAGTTAGCAGTAAGTTGAGCTACTTGAAATATTTACCCACTTGAGAACATTTCTCTGGTTTAATTATGAACAGTTGCCTATGTGTATTTGCACTGAAATACCTACCACCTAAGGTCCTTGTGCTTCACACTGGCAGAGGGGCAGACAATACCACTAAGGCCTGACAATGACTTGGGTGTCTTTCCAATCATTAGAAAATAAAAGATGGAATTTCAATAATAGCCTTAAGACTAAAGAGATAATGAATTTCCTATCTTTACAGGAGCCTCTTCATGTTCTAAAGAAAACAGCTGAATAACTGACTACAGAAGCTTGAAAAACAGATATCAGCAAGTCTTTGAGTGCCCGGCAGGTGGACTAAACCTAAGTGAATGAGCTCCGTATCCATTACACATATATAAGGACTGTTAGAGATTACACCACAAACAACCATCAGCATCACCACCACCCCATCATCAAAAACATTTAAAAATCTAACACAGAAGATTATTTTAAATTAAATCATGCATGTAATGCACTTGTCATTTGCCTTTGTATTTTAAGTTTAAATTGTGAAACTGTCTGTCACAGTTTCCTTCCAGGGGTGCTCTCAGATATATTTCTAAAGGAAGCCACAAAACAATCCCTACGAAAATCAACAAAAACCCAATGTTTCCATAGTAGCTATTTTACCCTTTTTTCTTCCCGTTTCTGTCTTATCTTTGTCTGTCCTTTTCCCTTCTCCCTTCCTTCCCTCATTCTTGCATCTTACTTTCTTTTTTCCTTTTCTTCTTTTCTTTTTTCCTTTCTTTCTTTCTTTCTTTCTTTTCTTTTCTTTTCCTTTATTTTGGGTTTGTTTTTCATGACAGTTTTTCTAAGTAGTTCTGATTTTACTGGAACTAGCTCTATAGACCAGGTTTCCCTTGAACTTGGGCCTGCCTCTGCCTCCTGACTGCTGACATCAAAGGTGTATACCACCCCATCGTCTATTTTTTTCTTTTGTTAATAAAAAACATCAGGCTATTTTCTCAACTTTTTGATGTGGTAGTACCTACATGAACTCGATTTCCTCAGTAGGAATTTTAGAATAGACACTTCTATAGACAATTTAGAAACCATTTCACATATAAAAGTCTACATGTGGTCTTCATCACTTATGAATATGTAACAGATATTATTTACTCAAAAAGCTAAGCTTGAATGCATTTCTCTTCATTTTTGCATTCTGTATCAATGATATAAAAGTTACCTACCTTAGGCAAAAACTCAAACCAACATAGATAATGTACTCTCATAAAGACCCAGATTCTAATCCTTTCAGGATAATATTTTATATTTTTGCTCATTTTTATATAAGCAAAATATGAACCTGTTCAGCAAAAAAAATCACACTTTATTCTTGTGATATAGTCATAAATAATAAAATAATTGATTTACTTAAAAATCCTGAAGTTATATTAACCATCAACCTAATTTAAGCTCATAATTTTCTAAGTCCAAGGCCTTAGATTTTGAGTGAAAATTTCAAGTACAAAACCTCTCCAGTCTTTTATACAACTAGAGTTAGTCAAAGCCATATTAATCACTGCAAAGAAATACAAAGAAATATTTACATTATTCTTAAATATTCTTACCAGCAATAGGAGGGCCGAGAAGAACGGGGCAACACTCCACAATGGTGGCGAGTCCCACGGCACTGGAAAACCTGGCAGGTCCAACAAGGTCCATGAGAGTTTCAAAGAGGACACTGCTCACACTTCCAAATCCATAACCAAAGAATATAGAGTAGACCACCAAAGCTGCATAGGAATGTGCCAGGGGGCAGAGGAGATGGCATACGCCAGTGAACACGATTGCAAAGCTGAAGAAGTACTGGATCCGTGGACGGATTAACTTGGAGTTGGCTATTAAACCTCCACAAGGTCGAGCAAACATATCCACAAAAGCCATCACAGACAGCAGCAAAGCTGAGTAATATTCATCTACTCCTTTGTCTTTAGCATATGGAGCCAAGAATATAACAGGGGCAAAAAACCCTAGAAACATAATGACATTTCCAGATAGGTAGATCAAAAATCCTCTATGCTTAAAAAGGCTGAAATCTAAAAATTTATTAATCTTTTCTGCTGTTGATTCCTTACTCACTTTCTTCACAGTTCCATCATGTCTTGAACCAACTTTACTTTTAGACTTCGACTTACGTGTACTTTTCTGGACAGGTCTCATGAGGCACCCAGCCACACAGGAGTGCAAAAATATGCCTCCCAAAATCAAGAAGCTCCCCTTCCAGCCATAATTGTTAAATAAGTATTGATTAAAAGGAGCCAGTGTGCTTAAGAAAACAGGACTGCCAGCCATGGCCAAGCCATTTGCCATGGGTCGTCGCCTATAGAAGTATTTTCCGATTATTGTTAAGGCTGGTTGCAGGTTGAACGCTAATCCTAAACCTAAAACAGAAAACAAAGGGAGAAAGAAAACACAAGCACATTATGTCACTCTGTAAAGAAACTTCTCAAAATTTACACTATACAGGATAAGAGAGACGTACAGCAATGGATTCCAATCTTTGCGGATTACAAGTGGAAATATAATTGTCCAAAAAGACTAAACTGGTTTTCATAAATAAACATTATAAGAATGTTTTCAGAGCCCTTTATTTTAAAGAAATAAGATGGACAACTACTGAGGTATGACAGAAATACAACAGAATGGGCTATAGCAAGGGCAAAATTATGAGTTCTTAATTAGAATCATACCTTCTCACACAGGCTCATATGCAAATAAACAGGCTCTATTCCCTTCTAGTGAGATTTAAGAACGCAGATACTCTGCTACTGCAGTGAAATTGTGAACAAACTGAAAGACTCACAATTTTCAACCATCTTCTACCTCCTCATAGATATTCCTTTCAACACCATGCAATAATAAAACAAAGAAATAAGTTTACCCCACTATTTCATTCCACATCCATCCTATTCTAAATTGAGCAGCTAGACATGGGTTGAATAAAATATTTTTGAAATATATTTTATTTGGGGGAGTTTTAGTTGATTCTTTGGGGCCAAGATCCCACCATGAAATCCTTGGCAGTGCTGGTCCCACCTTGGAGAGACAAATTTCTTCTTTCAGCTCACCCAGACATGACAGTATTCGGCAGCATGTATGAATCTTCCTTTTATAAACAGACAAACTGACTTATGTAAACCATCTCCTTTGCAACACTATTCTATTTGTAAAGGACTCCTGAGAGGTAAGACTTCGTTAGCCTACTAATTTGGATGAATTGAAACCATGCTGCTAAGTGGTTAAGAACTCAACTCTGCACTACACAACACTAAGTCCTCCTCTTGATAACATTTTTATGAAATAAACTTTCTCTCAAAGTTGTGGAAGGAGTCGGAACTATAACTTAAGAAAAGCTGCGACCTCTCTCAATTCCTCTCAAGCCCACCACTGAGATATGCAGACTGGGAATAAGTAGACTGATGCTTGTCAGTTTTTGGACAGGTGGCTTGTAAGCAGAGGATCCGAACTAAAAACCCAGGTATCGGATTTCGTTTGTCTTTATTCATTCTCTCCCTCATAAAAGTGGAGAATCTTTTGTCTTTAGATGTTATGTCAAGAAAAGTGATACACCAGTGACACCAGGACCCAAACACATGAAATTGTGTTGGAATAGGAATAGTGTCCGCGTATAGGTATGTCCTAGCATAGGAACATGAAAACCATGACCTCTTTAGTACACCCTCGCTCTCTTCTCTGCTGAGACGGAAGATAGTGAGGACATAAAGGACATCTGGATACCCTCTCCACAACAGCGATGCTGACCTCTGATATGTAATACTTAGATTTGCCATTTAAAGTGTTTTCCCATATAAAAAGTCAGACTGACACAGAGAGGTTACAGATACAGACATTTATTGTCACTATCATCGGAGTTCTTTGGCTTTTGTTGTTCCCAGTTTGCATCCCAGGTGGGTCTTGAACTCACTACATAGCTCAAACTAACATTGGGCTCAGAATCTCTTGCCTCAGTTTCCCTAGTGCTGGTTTGTGGTACATTTGTACCACCGTGTCTGCACAGTCTGTTGTCTTCATCAGAAGGTTTACATGGATAAATGTGGATGGATCTCAACTCAAATATGAGACAAAAATGTTAATTTAGGCCTTATCCAGTCTTCTCTTAAAACATGAAGTGTAGATTTTTAAATAAAATTTATTGATAAGGAAAATAAAAATCATGCTCTTCTACCTACAGTTTAGGTTGGTTTAAGGGAAAGGGACTTCCTCATGAGGCATTGTGCTGTCATTCTCGACATTTGTGAGAATACTCATAAGCAGGTCATTTCAATAAGGGGAAAAGAGGTGAAGGATAAAGTGGTTTCTCTGTCACTCATTAAAGCACAATTAGCAGTGACTTTATTGTTGATGTTAAATCATTGTTATTCCAAAATATATACTTGACACCATTTCTAACTTCTGTGGTAAGTCAAATACTCTAAACAGGAATAAAAATGTTTCATAAACGAATTGTTATACTAGAAGGTATTTACAGTATCGCCTCAACTGATTCAACAGTAAAAAGTAACCAAGTCAAAAACAGCCAAAGCTTTTTCCATTTCCATATCTGCAGAGTATAATAACTTTTAAAAATCATTTCTTAAAATAAAATGTTTAGCTCTACTGTAGGAAATACTTTAATGATTCAGATTAAAAGACCCTCTTAATAGACTTGCTCTTTAAAACAAGCTGAAACAAGACATTAAGAATTTGTAACTTCTTCATCCTTTACATACCGTTTAGATGAGAGCAGAATGCGACTCACCTCCAATGAAGCCAACTGTGAGGTAAAGTTCTATCACACTGTTACTGAAGGAAGCCAAGATCATTCCGGTACAGCATAGCAACCCTCCAACGATCACCACTGGCCGGCTGCCATAGTTGTTCACCAAGACACTACTGACAGGACCTGAGGAAGACAGGTGATTAAGAAATATTAGTTGAGGGGGACAAAGACTAATCCTTAATATATCTTTGTTTTGAATGCTGGGAAAGTGCAGTTTAGCAATCAAGACAGATTAGTACGTGTGTGATAAAATTGGGGCTCTCTAATGTGTTACGTAGACTAGTTTGTTTTTAACTTTTCTTTTGCATTACTTTTTTGAAACAGAAGTCTCAAATTCTTAGATAAAGAGTGATCCTTCTGTCCCAAAGTCCTGATTACCTGGGACTAAAGGAAAGTATTACCATTAGTAAAGCTGATGAGTTACTTTATTTAATTTACTTTATAAAAATTTATTTTATTTTAGTGTGTTATGTAGTATGTGTGTGTCTACAGTGTCTGTCTGTCTGTCTGTCTGTCTCTGTCTCTGTCTCTGTCTCTCTCTCTCTCTCTCTCTCTCTCTCTCTCTCTCTGTGTGTGTGTGTGTGTGTGTGTGTGTTTGTGTGTGTCAAGGTTAGGAGAGGTAATTAGATTCCATAGAGTTAGTATTACAGCTGCCAAATGCAGGTGCTGGGAACCAAACTTAGGTCTTTGCAAAAGCAGCAAGTACTTTTAGCTGCTGAACCCACTGCTCTGATCCCTGGTGAGTATTTTTTCAAACCACATTATGAAAACACACTAAAATAAATTGGAAACATTTAATATGTACAGTTTTTAAAACTGATACCAATCAAATGTAATGCAAAAGTTTTCAGTGAAACACAGCTAAACGGGCCTCAAACATCTCTCTGATGATGGTACACTCACAATACAAAAATCCACGAATTATATACAGCTTTGGTCTACATTTCTGAAATAATGTGTGTGTAGGTATATAAGTCATTAACTGGAGCATATTGTTAGGGACACTCAGATACAGTTTTTCTTTAATACCATATTTTATTGACTTATTTTTTTAATATTTTATCCTTAAAATTATGTATGTTTACTGTACACATGTATGTGTGCATGTGTGTATGCACATGTGTGTGTGTGTGTGTGTGTCTGGGCATATGTGCATGTGAACACACGCATGCATAGGTATAAGCATGTCAGTGCTGATGCCTTCAGAGTTCATAACAGGTTGTCAGGTTCCCTGGGGCTGGAATGCCTTGCAGCTGTCTCTCAGGCCCCCATTTCATACATTTAAGATTCTGACTGTGGTTAGTCCACAACCCCACTAGTATAAGCTATCACACTATACATGCTTAGGGTTTATATTACTGTCCATGATTTACAGGACCATGAAGAATCACTCACACGCTAACCATATGAAACACACCTTAACCATATGAAAACGAATACTGACTTTGACCCAAAGTTCTTTGTGTGACCCGTTCTCTTTATGACTTGTAAGCAGCAGTAGGAACGCTTACAGAACAAGCTCAGCTCCTTGGAGGAAGCTGCCTGTGGTATGAGGTCATCCTACTTCCCCGGCAAAGAGCACTCTGAGTCCTGAGTCTGAGACTCAAAGGAAGGAGTTTCAAGAATAATGTACAGAATTTATTTAACGTATATTTCCAATACATTTGGGTGGATATACATGCAAATAAAAACACTTGGGAATAATTAAGATCACTAATATCATGCATATTTAATTAAGTGCAGGGACACAGTTTTAGGAGTTAAAAATATAAGTTCTGAATATTAAAGTATTGTGTTTTACTACTGTAGACAGCATTTACTTTGCTGTCTTGCAAAATACTAATGCAACTTAATAAGTGAACGCACATGATGCAAGTCTGCTTTCTACAATCTGCCAATGAAGACACAATTTCCTTTGACATCTCTTCCGGACCTGAAAATTACATTTCATCTGCTACTAGGAATACTGCTTTAAGGGAAATACATACAACATTAGGTCAGAATTGTCAATTAAAATCAGATCTAGGAAAATAATTTTTTTCCCAGTTTTTCAGGACAGGGTTTCTCTGAGTAGCTTTGGAACCTGTCCTAAAACTGCCTTTGCAGACCAGGCTGACCTCAAACCACAGAGATTCACCTGCCTCTGCCTCCTGAGTGCTGGGATTAAAGGCATGTACCACCACCACCCTGGTGAAAAATAAATTTTTAACTTATAGTACAATTTCAAATTTTGCTGAATTTGATCATGTTGTATTTTGAAATATGTATGTGGCTAAAGTTAACACATATTGAAATTCAGTTACCACTATGTTTACATTATTTCAGTAAATATAATTAGTTACAATGTACTATTAAAATGAGATAACTAAAAAAATATAAAATCTTATATTTAAAGTAGTAGACAAGATAACATTTTTAAAAGACCTTATGGAATACATGGAATTCCAAAACTGCTGCGAAACAAGAATAAAGGGAAATGATTCCAACAAATGAGAAATGCACAATCATGTGCTTAGTATGGTAAAGGTTACTTGAAGACATAAGAACAAAAGAATTACACAATTATATAATACCAATTATTAGGACAAACAAACTGATACCCTCTTGGCTCTCGAATTGCAGACTCCATTTTCTGTGTGATGATTGAACAACTCATGGATAAAGTACATAATTAATGACTATATTCATGAGCATCTTTGCTTAAATTGCTCAAATACAAACTTGAGCTGAAGCCATGAATCACAATTTAACTTGTAATATATGGCAAACAATTATACATCTATACTCATTGGTTGAGTCAGTCGTATCCAATACATCCGTACCCAGGCTGCGTCAATCTCATCGAATGCTTCCTTTGCCATTTGCTACTATTAGTTAAGGAAAGCCATGATAATAGTGAGTGATGTTTGTGTTCCTTCTATCATTTCTACAAAGAGAGAGTTCAGTCAGGATATAATGAAAGTTCTAGCCTTAATGAACTAATTTTATGTTAAACTCGGTGCCTTAGTAAAATGATATTTTGTGTGGGAATATTTATATAACTCATCTGTAAAATTTACTTTATTAGTGTTCCTTTCAGAAATAGCCCAAACTCTTTTCTTCTTAACATTAACACTTAGGGGATTCATAAAGTATTCCTGATTTGGAGGAGCTGTGAATAGATTTTAAAGGTATGATACAAATTAAGACATTTTTTATTATCCCTAAATGCCCACTAATAGCCAGAAGAGACATTGAAAGTAATCCCCACCACCAAGAGGCACATCTCTTCAATATATTAACAGTTTGGTTTATTATAAGAAAAAGAAAGAGGAAGATGAAAGAACAGCAGATATTCTCATGATACAGAGTATTTCTCAGCTATGAACTGGCTCTGTAAACAAAAGTGTTCCTTTTTCAACAGTCTCAGGACTGCTTACAGCCTAAAGGTACTTATTTACTTTCTTTTTGTCAGTAAGTCTGAATGTTTAAAATCAGTGTATTCTTTATGTAATCGCAATGTTTAATACACATATTGAACATATGATTATTAGTTATATATAGCATATATTTAGTAGATATAATATTTATAAATTATGATTATTAGTCATATCAGTAATGAACAGTCCCATCTGCAGAGTTATACCTGACTCCATACCTAAACAGAAAAAAGGCAACATTCATTAAAATAATTCTATTTGATAATCAGCCTCATAGAAAGACAGACAGACAGACAGACAGACACACACACACACACACACACAAACATGCACATGCACACACACACACAGACATACACAAAGGGTGGGTATTAAAAATAACTTTTAATTCCAAAACACAAGAAGATTAGATTATATGCATATAAGACAGGTCCAGACATGAGTTTATGTGATACTCATTTCTAAACAATCTCAGAATTATAGAAACCGACCATTTCCGTGAAATTGCAATAATAAGCTTCATGAGAGAACACTATAGGTCTCACAGTATGCTACCAATCTCAGTTTGCCCATTCTCAGAGGTCCTGTAGCACCAATAGATGCTAGCACACACAACAAAAGTGAGTTTCTTCTCATTTCATGTGCCATGCTCATGCATTTATTATAAATTTTTACATATCCTATTATTAGTTAACTGTGATTATTATTATGCTTATTATCTAGATAGTGTGCTAATATTTGTAAATGCAGCATTCCGTAGACTTGTCATTTCAATTCCATGACTGATCTGCCTAATAGAACCTAACTGTTAATGAAATTGAGGTGCAAATACTTTGATTTATTTGTGGGTCTCTCAATATTAGGTAGTAAAATGTAGAATGAGTCAGGGACATTTGACAACAGAACCTTTTTATCTAATGTGCCAAGAATATTCAATATGATGGAGCTAAGATAACTAGATATATTTTCTTCCAGCGTGGAATCTTGTCTGACATGGGGGAATATACAGAATGGGAGAGCTAAACAAGACTAGTCCGGGCAAATAGTGTGTGTGTGTGTGTGTGTGTGTGTGTGTGTGTGTGTGAGAGAGAGAGAGAGAGAGAGAGAGAGAGAGAGAGAGAGAGAGAGAGAGAGAGAGAATTACCACCTTTTACAAACATAATGCTCACTTTTCTTTCAGGGAGTTTGGAGTTTTGGTACACACTAAGCGGTAAACACCAGCAAAAAATGCCTTTGTGACCAGCTCACTAATAAAGCACTGAACACCAACTCTGTAATTAGTTTCCTGATAAACAAGCCTTCATGACTTTTGTCACAATGATTTCTGGGAAAATGAGAGAGTGTGACTCCATGGAAAGAAAGGGGAGTCTAGTAAGTTTGGACCTGATATTCTCTCTACTTACTCATGGGCTCTCCCTTTCCTGGTTTGATTTCATGTGTTCACTGTAATATATTAAGGCCACAACAAAGAATTAGCCTCACACGTTGAGTGAGTCTTGTGAAACTTTTGAGTGAATCACTGAAGCAGAAAATTGTATCAGGGACACTGAATGCAACTGTCCTTCCCATAGCAAAGGTCAGATATGATCTATATATACAAACAAGTCTATCTCATACATTATTATGTTCTGTAAATACAGGCTCAACATTCTTGCTCCTGTTTTCTTTTTCTCTGCGTAAGTAACGGTACATGATAAATTCTAA